TGACTTAATCGCAAATTCTTTGTGAACATATTTAGTAATTATAAATTAATTTATATTATCAACTAGTTATATTTATTAATTGAACGTGTAAATATTGTTATGATATTTGTTATAATATATTCAAAAAGTAAAAATGTCGACATTTCGAATTTGACATTTAATAACGAAAAAGTATTTTGACATTTTTGGTTGCCGCTTTTCGCAATATAAAACCAGTCACATGCTTCATAATATAACCGATATTACAAAATATCGGTCTACTGTGGAAAAGTTATCGGAGTTCAAATAGAAAAATAAACAGATTAAGTCGTTTATTTTTCCCTACATGGCACTTCATTACCCAGCTCTTCCATTGTCTCTGCTGTAACTGCATGCTCGAATTTAAACCAATTGTCGTTTCGTTTCTTCCATATGTTAGAAGTTACTCTCAGCTCCGTTCTCTGATCCCATCGCAAAGTTTTAACTTTTATGTAACTATTTGAAATATGTGTTTTATTAACCGTGTCAAGCGACTCACCGAAGAAATGTTTGAGAGTAGCATTCCAGACTAGACAAAATCTCAAATTCAGATGATTTTAACGAGCGACTCTAATTTATCGGACACTTTCCCCGCTTAATTGCCGACTGACTTTATTTTATTCTTATCTTATTTTTTAGTTTAGTTTAATTTTACTTTTTTATTATGATTTTCTTTTTTATCTGTACTTTTTGTCAAATTTGTTCTTCTCTAAACAATAAGTTACTTTCATTTCTGAGATATTACTGTTCAAACTACTCGCCCAGGTTAACTACTTCGACAACATCGTCTCGAGTTTCTCGATGTCAGCGATATAGTCATAAATTTAGGAAATTTTAGTACTTTGATACAACTCTAGTCAATAACCTTCACAATGAGTTTTATTTTTTCAGATCCATCCAAAGAAGATGTGATTAAGTTAGCCACATCTGTTCGTATAGTTTTTATGATTTAATTGTAATTACAGTATTTATAATTTTTAATGATTTCTGAAATTTTTAGTATTATTCAACTGAGCTTGAAAAGTTTTTGAATGGAAATATACATGAATATATAGCATTTCCTTTTTCCACCCTCTGTGAGTACAAGAAATTCAGGTAAGAAATGAAAAACTATCTCTTTATAATATAGAATGTGTTTAAGTAATCAATTACCATAATAGTACTTAATTTAGTAATACAAACAGCAGCTATATTTAATCACAATTATTTATATAGAAATGATTGTTTTCAAATATACATGTTATATATATTACTATATTCCTTAGCATAAAAAACTTTC